CCTGAGCCAGGTTTTCAGGAACTTGGCTGAATAGCTAACACTTGGGAGAGATTCAGGGTGGATGGCTTTTTTGTCTGTAGAACAAAGAACTGTGAAATAGCTAAGATGTTTTTAGTTAATCCTTTGGAGGAAGGCTTGACCTTGCAACATTTACAGTCTTCGGCTTTAGGAAAATATCACATATATCTGTGGATTATCAAGGGCTCCATGTATTAAATTAATAAATATAACTGAACACTAAGATGAAAAACAATTTGCTATTGACTGCCAGTGGCCTCATTTGTTACACTTGGGGCTATAGGGCCTCGAACCTCTGACTAGGCTTACACGGTCTGCAACATGGTTTAGCCTGACTCTGGATACTGAGAACTCAACACACGTCAGGAGCTATGCTAAGAACTTTAAATACAGCACATCATTTTATCTTCATTCTGTTGTGCCCAGGGTCACTATGAGTTGGAGCTATGGGAATTTCAATAATACAGGAAAGAGATGATTCTATGTTCAAAAGAGCTCTTTGGTGGCACAGTAGTTATGAGTTGGGCTGCTAACCTCAGGGCCAGCAGTTTGAAACTACAAGCCATTCCGTGGGAGAAAGATGAGGCTTTCTGCTCCCATAAAGATTTATAGCCTCAGAAACCCTGCACAGGGTTGCTGTGAGTTGGAACCGACTCCAAGGCACACCACCACCACCACCATCACCATTGTATGTTAAACGAAGTAAGGAAAAGAGAATGCCTGGATTGGAAACATAGTTCAGAGATCATTTTGGGTCATATGACTTTACCACCACTTGTCAGTTTGCTGTACTGCAAATTCAAGCGTGGCAACAATTGTGAGATTGGCCCAGGACCAGGCAGTGTTTCATTCTGTCGTGCATAGAGTTTCTGTGAGTCGGTACCGACTTGATGGCACCTAACAACAACAAGAAGTGTGTTTTAATCCCTGAAAATCATGAATAACCGTGGAAACTTGTCTGATATAGTGTCAGAAGATAAGCCCCTCAGATTGGAAGGCACTCAAAATGTGACTGGAGAAGAGCTACAACCTCAAAATAGTTGTTAAGGGCAGTCAAGTTGATTTTACTCAGTATGTGAGTGTTTTGAGTCCTCTAAAAGTTCTCTAAAAGCAAAGGCATTAGATTGTGTGATTCATAACAAACTGTGCATATGGATTACATTGTAAAGAATGGGTATTCCAGAACACTTAATTGTGCTCATGAGGAACCTGTACATTGACTAAGAGGACTGCATTTGAACAGAACAAGGAGATATTGAATGTTTTAAAATCAGGAAAGGTGTGTGTTAGGGTTGCATTCTTTCATCATATTTATTTGGTCTGTATGCTGAGCAAATAATCCAAGAAGCTGGATTACAGGTAGAGGAACATGGCGTCAGGATTGGAGGAAGACTCATCAACAACCTGAGATATTCAATAAGGATCAAAGACTACATACAGCCTTCAGTATGGATCATACCTCAATGTAAAGATAACGAAAATCTTTACAACAAGACCAATAACTAGCATCAAGATGAACAGAGAAAAGACTGAAGTTGACAAAGACTTCATTTTGCTAGGATCTGCAATCAGTACTTGTGGAAGCAGCAGTTAAATCAAACGATGTAGTGCATTAGGTAAATATGCTGCAAAAGACTCCTTTAAAGTGTTAAAGGGCAAAGAAGTCTCAGGTGTGCTTGACCCAAGCTATGGTATTTTCAATTGTCTCATATGCATGTGAAAGTTGGACAGTGAATAAAGAAAACTGAAGAAGAATGATATATTTGAAATATGATGTTGGCAAAAAAAGAGTCTGTTTGGGAAGAAAGTACAGCCAGCATGCTCTTTAGAAGGCA